ATTCTGCAAGTGTAGAGTATGTATGCATCAATATTGTCATCGGATCATCACTAATGAGGAATTTCGGATAATCACAAACAAGATTGACAAATAAATTTTAAAAAAAAATTCCAATGTCCACCTGGAGAATGACCTTTCATCATATATGCAGCTGAAGGTCAGATTTGTTGGACACTCTTTCAAGGGCACCATATTAGGTGGGCCAATGTTGCTCCCACAGTATGGACAGATAGTACAGAGGTGGAAAGAAAATCCATGCCTTGCCCGGGATTCGAACCCAGAACCTTTCTGGTGCAAGGCCAGGTCCTTGACCCCAGTCAGGGAACTGACCTTGCATCAGAAAATCGGTCATCATGTACGGATCGGTCAGCTTAAATCAAAATTAAAGTGCCAAACTCAAAACTAATCTGTAATAATTATATTTAGTTTAAATTTGAACAAAAAAATGAAAAATTATTATGAATTAAAAAAAAAGAGGATCGAATATTTTGAATAAAAAAATATTATTAAAAACCTCTATTTATATATGTTTCGTTAAACCTCAAAATTATTAAATCACTCCTTAATCATCATTATAATTCAGGTTTCTACTTTTTAAATGTTTGAAAGCTTTTAATTGTTGTTGAAAAGATATTCGGGTAATAAACGAATTGAACTTACAAGTGAAAATCTAATTGTAAGTATTAAAAAAAACTATTTATGCATGTCGATTCTGTATTTGCTATCCATTTAAGAATAAAGAACCAATTAGAAATTGACATTGAAAGTAAGTTATGTAATATTCTAATATCTTATGCAAAAATTATAAAACGAATTATGAAATTCATGGAACAATTGACAATGCGTAGTTTAAATATTTTCAAGGTTTGAACGAACTATGAATAGTACTAGTTGAAAACGTCTTTTTTGCTAGATAGTAGTACTTAGAGTTTGTTGCGTATTAGATAATAATGATTTGTAAAAAAACAATCTTATCTTTTTCTCTCATAAAAAATCTATAATTAGAGCTCGAAATAAAGAAGAGAAGAAATGCAAACATTTCAGAACAGAGTATATGTAGTATTGAATCAGGATCTGATCGAACTATTGTTCACGAGTAACTGAGTTTTTATCTGAAGATTTAATCTTCTTATTGTTGGAGTTAGAAGAAATCAATTGTGGGCGCGGTTTAAATAATGATACGAATATATTTTATAGAATCAAAGGGCTTGAAAACTAAAATAATATGAGTTCTTTTTATCAATTTATAAGTAATTACAAAGTTGAGGTAGACTATTTTAAACTGCAATTTTACTGCTTTACCTCAAATTTGACATTAGTTTTCATTTGTCAGAAAAGCAAAATAAACTGCTTTCTGTGTTTTTAGCAGCTTTTTGGCAAGGGAAAAAATCAAAGCAAACAGCTTTGTATATAAAAAAGAAACATCAATTGCAGTCTAATTTTTACTATCTAAGAGCCAATTCATTGGTTTAAAGATTCAATCTTAAATATGCAAATTAAACGGAGCTAACTGTTAATTAAACGCTTATTTTACGTTGTATTGTTGTTATATGTTGTATTGTTGTTTTGTGTTGTTTTGTTGTATTATGTTATAACTTTTTATTAAGTATTGTTTTTTCTCAGTAATCAGATATTTTCCTGAATAAACATGCCTTTTTCTGATAGATTCGGATTTTTGTCTTCAACAATATGAACAGAAAGCGAGTATTTTTAAAAATAAAGTCTCAATAGTTTAGTCAATAGAACAATCAAATATTTAGTACCCTTAGTGTTATTTTTACTTTTTGTGTACTTCTGAGAAGCTTTTATGAAGCTTTTGCAGAGAATTGAAGCCGACAGCATGCAATTATAAAACTCGTTTATCGAATGATAGTTCCAATCAGAAATATAACTTTCAATAACTACTAATTATTTTTATAATTAATTATTCTTTATTATTTTAAGTGTAATAGTCGATAACATGTGAATTGTAGGATATGCAAATTTTTACTTTTAAAGCTATGTAATTTTTAAGGAAAAAATACGTACGATGAATAAAATTGGTTTTAACAATCTTGTAAATCTTGTAATCTCCCCCTAAGAGATTACAAGATTTTATCCTCACAAAATTAGAAGGTTTTTCACAAGAAAACAAATAAGCAGAGGGAAAAACGAGTAGTGTAAAGCATAGATAATAAAAAATTTTTGCTTCTTTTATTCACAGAGAAAAAAAGTATGGTTAAAACTACCAGAATATGGTAAAATTTACCGTTTTTCCGGCGCTATGGTAACACTAAGAGCTTTTTAATTTTTACCTAAGATTTGATTATGACTTTGGTAAAGTTAAATATAAAATATGAGTTTATAACATGTAGTTAAAATTTGATTAATGTGGAAAAATTTGGTAATTTTATCATGATACTTTAGAGCAGGGCATAAAAACCATTTATTTCTAAGTGACCGGAAGCTTTGTGTGCCAATATTTTTCCACGCATTACTCAATTGATAAATTTCTACTTTTATTCTTAGAAATTTAGAAACGCTGACCGTTTTCTTTCAATATATAATTTCTTTGTGCTGTTCACGTGTTTTTCTTTCTCTGAAAGCTTGTATTATTTTCCACAAAACTTATACTTTGAAAAATGCAAATTTCCAAAACAAAAAGAAGTAAACAATTTTTTTAGACATCTTTCGGTAATTCCCAACCACTAAGGTACCTCACTATATGAATATAAAAATCCCAAGCAGTTGCCTCGCGCCATTTTGGCTCCCGTTCTAGAAGATGTAAGACATAACAATCTATCCCCACGTATTAGTATTTCTCTTCGGAAAGCAAAAGGTTAATTTATTCCATCTTCCGCGTATTTCATATTGAAATTCATCTTTCAAGGCACGGATCTACCTGGTTTGCGTAATCGATCTTTCATTAGCTAAGCCGTTGCACTTCTTCTTTGCAACTAAAACAGATATTCCTTTTGACATCAATGAGGAAATCACATTTAGAAAAAGCGGTGCTTTTAGTTGAATAGCCGCATCCTATATAGATCAAAACAGGTATTCTTAGAGTTATGTAATCTGCAAACCGCTACTAGAACTCTTTCTTTTTCTTCGTCTTTATTTTAATAGCATCCCCTGCCTAAAGATATCGTACATAGATTAAGTCACTCTTTTCAGAGGCCAAAAGCATTAGTATAAAAAAGGTTGATTACAGTATGACTTTTACTTTTTATTCAAAGGTATTGCACATCTATGGAATTGAGATGACCACGTATAGAACATGGAACATAAAATTATTAAAAATAGAGATTGACAGAATTAAAAAGATTTTTTAAATTAAGTATTTTCGAAATGATTCCTGCAAGTAATATTGGTTTTAATAAGAGGAGTGCAGTTTTTTTCTGTAACTGAACCGTGATTACAGGCTCTGTTCTGAAAATTCTGATGTCCTTTTAAACATTGAGTTTGTTTCTATATTTTGATTTCATGGATAACACACCAAAGAAGCCTGCTTACGTGAATAATTTACGGAGAACCGAATCAATTATTAGTAATCTGTAATTATTATTAATCTATACATAATGTCATTTCTGCTTGGGGAACCCCTGTAAGGCCTAGTGTCCTGCAGAAAATAGTTTGTATCATTAATAAAGTTGAAAAAAATACATAAAGTCTAAAGAAATAAATCAGAAAATGCCAAGCATGCTATAAAAAGCAGCTGTCTAATTTTTACAACCATTTCAGTTTTACTTTGTACGTAACTTTCTGTTTTATTAAACTACATCGAGCAGCTTTCTTTATAAATACAAAGATTATAATAAATAATTCGCTTCCTCTAATGGTCAAAATAACAAACAGAAATAAATGCATGCAAAGACAGCAATAAAATTAATTTTAATGTTATGGAGATCAGTATGACAGTAAATCAGTTTAAAAAAGCGGTACTCGATATAATTCACAAAAAAAAAATTTAAGATAATTACCTACGTTACTTTCTTCCCCACAGCACTTCAAATTAGAAGTAAATCGATTGATCTAATACCTCTAACAGGGCAATTTAATAAAAATTTATGGAAAATGGTATGATTTGAAAAAGCAATTATGTTTTTAAATTGTTCTACAAAAACAAACAGTAAACCTAATTATCAATGGCAATAATAATGTAAAAAAAGGAATAAGTCTTCCTGGCTTCAAATTGTACGTGTTTTAAAATATACGAACCATTTATGATTTTAAAATAATACAAGAAGGAAAAATTCTGGTCAATTGCCGCATGGTATAGTAATAGCATTTCTAGAAAAAATACGATTATTCTGGTTAATAAAACTAAAATATACGCATTTAAATAATTCATTTGGTAATTTTTCGATATATATGGTAACGGTTTACCTAAAATTCTGATTTTTAAAATTATAGTTCTCTTAAAACCATGCATCTAATTAAAAATACAATACAGAAATTTTTTTAACCAAATAAATAGTTTTTAAGCTTTGCTTTCAAGTACCATGATAAAATTACCAAATTTTATCCCATTTACCAAATTTTATCACATACTTTAAAACCATGCTTTGTAGTTAATGTTACTAAACTCATTACCATGGTACTTCATTAAAAACATCGAACTTTTTGGCTTTCCCATATAACCCGAAGCACTGTAAATTTTACCATTTTCTGGTAGTTTTGACCATACTCATTTTCTCAATGTATGTAAAAGTTATATCAAAAGTTTATAACCATTTTTTCCCTTTTTTTTACCTCGCATTAATTAATTTATATGCATTATCCAAGTAGTTAAACTAGTTTTTAAGACTGTTAAAAGACATCTGAAGCATCTAGTTATTATTTTTTACTCAATTGTTTTAAGAATATTTACTAGTAAATGCAATATTGACTAGTTTACGAAAAAAAACTGAATTAAGCAAAATAACTCAATGAATTAACTAAACTTAATTAACTCAATGAACTGAACAAACGGACTGCAACTTTCGATGTTTAATCTATAAACAAACTAATTCAGTACTCACATCTTTATAATAATCTGGTACGTCTTCAAGTTTCTCATAATTATGCTTTCGTGGATCACAAATATAAAATAAATATCCCAACCGTTTAACTGTTTCAGAAATGAATTCCATGTCTGAAAAATTTGTGAATATTTGAAACATTACGATGGACCAAAGTTTAGTCCGCTTTGATCAAAATCTAGTTTGAAAGGACCATATAATTTATGTCAATGAGATTAAGATCTTTGACTTTTGAATACAATGTGGGAGCAGCATGATGCGGGATTTCATCAAGGGCACGTTAACTATCTTTTCCATCTTCTCCCTACTTGTTTGGGCATGTTACTTCCTTTGGCCATGTTTTTGTTCATGTTATCAAACTTGTCTTTCTTAATATAAAATATGCAAACTTTTTTTTATGAAAAAGAAGTAACATATTTATTTTGTAAGTTTACTGTTGGAAAAAACTTATGTAAACAACTTTGAAATTCTAGGGCGATTTCGCATTAATATTTTCTATAACAAATACAGTAAATTTGATCTAAATTTTGCCGAGAATTCTATGCTTCTGATGCAAAGTGATTGCAAAATATTGAAACTGTCAAATACCTTGATAAAAAATCAAAAAAGTTTGTTCAGATATTTTTTTGAGATATTTTATCATTGGTATTTTTGGGCATGTCATAACGTTGTCCTTTTAAATTTCGTTATATGTTGCTATTATGGTGAAGCAGAAATAAGTTTCAAAAGACTGCTTCAAAGAAAACTACTCTGAGAAAAAAAAAGTATGCTCAAAATTACCAGAATATAATAAGGTTTATCGTATTTCTGGCTCTATGTAAACACCAAATAGCTCGACAATTTTTACCGAAGCGCTTTGGTATAACAATAAAACATTATTTTACAGTAAGTGATAAAATTTGAAAATTTGGTAATTTTATCATGATACCTTAGTAGACCATGGTATAAGAACCATTTTTATTCTGCTAAATTTACTTTTCAGTTTTGTAATTTTTTTCAATGTGTAGTAATAAGAATTATAATTTTGAAAACCAGAATTTATAACGAAACGAAAAATATATAACCATATAATCGAAAAATTAAAAAAAATGAATGGTTTAAATTCCGTATATTTTGGTTTTCATTTTCAAAATTATCTTATTTTTATTAAAAATATCATTGTTTTAAAAACACAAATACTTCATAGTAAATTCGAAAGTGAATTTGTAACGCTTGTCAATAAAGTTAATGATATGGTGTAATTAACAATAAAATATGATCTTATAACAATATTTGTTAAATGTGGTGGAATTTGGTAATTTTATCATGCTACTTAAGAGCATGGCGTAAAAACAATTTATTCGATTAAAGTTACATTTCAGCTTTGAATTTCTTACTGAATGTGTAATAATAAGAGCAATAATATTTAAAACCAGAATTTCCGATAAATTGTTAGTTTATGAATGAAAAAACTGCCAACTGAATTAACGTGCACCTCGCTGCGTATGCAAGCTGGTTGTTTTGTCTGCCACCAGGATCGAGCTCACTACCCCCAGCTTTTCAACTAGCGGTATGAGCATCGCCTCAACCGACTGCACTACCGAAGTGCCGAATTGACCAGTTCAAAATTGATCCGTCTTATTGGATTTCGAACATTTCATTCCCTAAGATATTCGATCTCGAAAAGTTCGCCTTTAGAAAGAAAAAAAAATTAATTACCTATTTACGCTGCATGGGGAGGAAAACCGCGTTTAACTGACTATAAAAGGATTTTATGACCAGTGATTTATCTATTATTGGAGGTATTTTAGGTCAAGACTGTGGTCTGCACTGCGAAAAATTCTGGATCAAATTACAATAAAAAAATACTGACACCTGAGTCTCAGTACTTATTAATGTCATAAAATTTTAAGGAACAAAAAAATCTTATAAACCGTATTTTTTACATTATTTACCATGAAATCACTGAATCAGTGTAGTCAAATAAATATTACTGTAGAAATTATGGAATAAAATTCTTTGGTAAAAATGGATTTTACAGATGCTGTACTCTTTACCATAATCTGATCCAGAATTTTTTACTTTGTGTGCAAGCCAGGAGAGACAACCAATTATTGTCGATTTTCGAATTTTGGTCGCATCATTAATGCAAACCAAAATTTGTATTAGTTCTATATATCGTTGTATTAAGAATTAGTAACATATTAGTATTGTGTATTAGTACTACATTATTATTATAGATTAGTATTATATATTACTTCTGTATTAATATTATGTGCTGATCGTCAGGATAAGTACCTGAGTCACCTCATTAGAGCAAACCATGTATTAGTACTATACATTGAAAAGCATGTTTATGTAAATATGGGAAATTTTAAACAAAGTCATACCAAATACTCATTGGTACTGTAGTTTTTAAAAGGAAATAAATAGCATCAAGCAATTTGATCCAATTTATCATTGTCTGTATAACACAATGGCTATCTGGGAGAATTACAAATGTTGCATACTAATTTAACAATTATTTCTTTTAAGCTGAACTTTGGTTAAGAACTATATTATTGTCATTGTAATTGACCCGTAACACGAACTTAATAATAAATTGATTTAAAAATATCTATAGCTTAAAGTAAATTTTGCTTTTTTTATTACTTATAGGGAAAAAATGCCACTTTTATTGGATTTATTGTTTGATAAATGACTGATAGAACAAACAAACAAATAAGCAAACGAATATGTTCGAAACGGCTGATTGCATGAAAGTGTTGTTGACCTGTTATTCGGCCAGGGTTGCGACTTCTTCTTCTATAAAAATACATTGACGTTTAATAATTTACATTTTCAATCAGAAGTAGTTTTTTACTGGTAGTAAAAAGATAGCAGACTTGACTCTTGAATAGGGAAAAACGATTCCCGCTTAAAGTTAGCACATTCCATAGATTTTTTTCTTCTTTTTGATGACATCGCATGCAATGGTACAGAAAAAAAAGTTTTGAAATATGCATAAGAATTTTAAAAAACATCAAATTCTTTATTAGAATCTGAAGGGACATCACGAGGAGTTGAATGCTTTTTGTATTGATTCGTTTTAAACGAGCAAATGACACCACATATAGTGCGGAGACACCGTTGCAAAGTTACTGTTGACCTATCAATAACAAGCCCTCTGTGATAATGTGTATTAACTATTTTGGGGTTATTTATAAGCAAAATAAAAATACATTTTATAAACTTTTAATTCTTTTATTATCTATTTACAATTTTTATTTTCACATTTTAGTTTTTTATTTGTTTAATTCAATTAATTTTTGTGGAATGAAAAATTTAGAAAAAACTATTAAATTAGCAAATGTGTGTTGTTTTATAAAATAATTTTCTTATGCATTTTTTCTTTAATTTTAAAACTTTAATAAACTATATTCCTAACAATAGAATCATATCAACAGATTGAGTAACAATATTAATAGTAAAACAACCAATTTTATGACCTGTCCTCGCTAAACTCATGGGGCTAGTATACACGAGAACAATTTTAAAAAATATGAAAATATATACATCCAAATCAGTTTTGGTATCATTTAAAAGGAAGATAAATGTTTAGCTTTTAATAAACATTTTTGAAATATGTTCGAATTGATGTTTTATAAACTTTTTGGCAACTTTATTAATATTCTCCTTATAATAACGAACTAAATAGCATTAAAAAACATAAATACTATAAAACTTAAATAGCTTAAATACGAGGGTTGCTATTTATATTTCTGGGCTTGGAANATAATAGCGAACTAAATAGCATTAAAAAACATAAATACTATAAAACTTAAATAGCTTAAATAAACTCATGCATTAGATCAATTTAGAGATCGCTAAATTCGCCTTGAGTGATCTCTAAATTCGCGAGGAGCGTGCTTGCTAAGAAAGGGAAAAATGAAATAAAAAATAGTTTAAGTCATTTTATAAACTAAGTGATTGCTCTTATCTAAGTAACAAAAACACAAACTTTTATCTTGTAATTTTTTAGAGATTATTCTATTTCTATTTTATTTTATAACCGGCGTTGTACAGCCAACCCAAATTAGAGTTTACGACTATCAATGTTTCACTCTATAGGCTTGTAATTTTGATCACAGTCCAGAAGACAAGGGAACTCCTGCTTTAAGCATAGGAATTTTTCATCGGAACTAGCTCGCATTTGCGTTACACCGAGGGGAAAACCCAAAAACCTCCAACGGTTAGCCCGATGGCAAGGAGATTTTAAAACACGATCTGTCGATCTTTGAGGATATTTTACATCAGCGCTGTGTTATATACAAGCCTAAAACTGAATTCGTATCAACCAGCCACTGCTGGGATTCGAATCTGGGACGCCTAAAGGGAGGCGAATGATTTTTCCCCTGAGGCACCGTGGTTCCGATTCCTCTTATTTTGCTTACATCCTGCTTAAAATAGTTCTACTATTTTTGAAGCGTGAGTGAGGAAAATAATTTATAAAAACATCTTTTTGTCAATTTTTTTTTTTACTTTTCTTACTTGTTAATATTCTAACAATCAAAACCAAATGCAACTTGTGCAGTTCCTGAATATGTTTATCTAAGAACTGAACAATTACGATAATTTTGGTTCTCGCAAAATAAAAATAATTAATTTCATAATTAGAAGTATCGCTTGCTCAAAAGAGTGTCCTTGAAAAAATTCCATGCATTTTCTGAGGTTACAATTTTCTAGTATATTCAGCAAAATTTCCAAATTGTTTTCTACTAGAAAACATTTTATTTGTTCTTGACCCTATTACCTCATTGTTAATTCATAAAATTCTTACAACCTCATTAAAGTTTGACATACATTAAAGCTCGAGAAAGCTCCTTTTTAAATTCTAAACAATTCTAGAGAATAAGCACTCTTAAGCTATGCAGAAGTAAAAATAGGATTCTGTTGAAAAAAATGAATAAATAAATAGTCTACTTCTTTTGTTTATTCAGGGTTCCCACTCAAATTTTTAAAAAAATTAAATGACTTTTCAATGACTTTCAAGGTCCTAAAATTAAATTTTTCAAGTACCTATTCGGTCTTACAGTTAGATGCTAAATTACATATCAACCAGATTTTACAATTACGTAGAAGCAGAAATTGTATATTTTTAAAGCACAATGCTTATTTGACAACAAAAAAAGAATTATTTATTAAATTTATCAGCTAATAATTCAAA